AGCAGAGAAAATTTCGCGAATCCAAATCGCATTTATTTCAGAAGTTTGTACAAAATCTTGTATTCTATACTCGAAAGTGTTAAATATATTGTGCGAGGAGAGCAATAATTTTGAAGCATACCTAAAAAAAAGAAAATTCGACCGCGAAAAACAGAAATTATTGAGTAGTGCAATTTGCTGGCGAAAACTTCACAAAAGGCAAACCGAAATTGTATAACAAAGCAGAAGAAGTTGGAGAAAGAAGAACTTAGGGTTTGAATATTCTAGTATGTTTAATATATATTGTGGAAGTCCCCAATTGCAAAACGAAAAACTTTTGTTTAAATAAATAGGAAATAAGAGCGGTATTGCGCGTACCAAAAGCCATTAAATGGCCGCTGAAGTGGTTGTAGTGAAGCAAAATCTAATTGGAATACACTGCCAGGAAATACGAGTGTTTGGTTATCTAAATGCTGCAGCCATGGTTAATTTGTGTGTGCAGGGTACGCGGCAAGCGGAAGTTGACTGCTGGCTTGGGACAGACGCATCAAGAAGGAAGTGAAATACATATGTTTTCTTCACTTTTTGACCATGCAAATTATTGAAATATAAAATAAAAAAACATTTGTAAGCCCCCTCTTTTGGGCTGTGGTTAGACAAGAATGAAGAAAATATCCACTGGACGCAGTGCATATGCACGCCCAATATGCTTACCAGCCGGCTGTCTGCTACATTAAGCGACAATAGATAACACACTTGTCTACACACATACGCATGCAGCTTGGTCATTGCCATTTGGCGGACACTGTGCTATCGAAGATTTGTACATTACTATAATTGTAATTTGTATGCCAAGTTTTTCCCTAGTAGTTTTCTTTTAAAAGTCTTTTAAATTTAATATGCAAGCCTAGTGTACAGGCGTTTGAAGAGCTTGTTTGTGTGCCCGCCGTTTTACAAACATACAACTGCATACATAGACTACATACACATTTGTCAGCCCACTTCCTCTTATTGAGGAAAATACAAGTTGGCTGCATCTATTTTAAGCCTTCACATGGGTACAAAGAGCTGCAACAGCTGCGAGGCAGTCAGCGTTGTCTGCAACACCATCACTGTCCACTCGATTAGTGGAGTCTGTTTTATTTTTGCTTCTGAGTTGGCTGCTCATTTGGTATGTATGCACATATGTATGTAGCTTGGGTGTAGACAGAAAGCTGGGAATTAAATGCAATAATGGTCACTTTTAATAAATCAGTCTGCTTCAGCGGCGCATACCTTTGTATGTACATATGTATGTATGTGCAGTCATGTGAAAAATAATAGGCGCGCACAAGGCTTATTAAACAGGTAGTAGCATTAGAGCAACAATAACAACCTTTACGTGTATTTTTTTTGTTGCTTATGGTCTTTAAAGTGTCAAACAATGTTTTTTTTTTTCAAACATTTAACAGTGGACCTTGTGAAATATCAGAAGGCTTTTTCTAAATTTAAAGTCAAAAACAAAAATTTGTGCGTCTTTTTTTTGTAAATTTGTTTCTTTCCAGTAGCACTAATCCATTCTTTGCAGGGCCCAATAATTAGCGTTTGTCCACCTAAGTTAAGCGAACGTTCAAAAAGATGATTTTCAATAGCTTCCTTTTCAGATGAAAATACATTTTGGAAGGTAATTAAGAATTTTTGTGAAAAAATAATAATATTGCTTGACACTTTAGAGGATAAATAATTAAACAAAAATCAAATCACTACTAACTGTTCAACTTACCTTGTTGGGCACTCAACATTTTGACCAGTTTTGGTTATTTTTCTTTTGTTTTTTTAATGTTTAATTTTTTTTTTATAAAAGTACAACTCATTATCTAACAAAAATCATGTGAGTCCAAAATTCAAACTTTGTAGAAAAATTAGAAAAATTCAACAATCTAAAAATTTTCAGAAAAATTCTAGCTTGCAAGCTTCTAGGTGCAAGTTTCAAGTAGTTTAAAACTCGCTTTATTTGTTTGCCTATTATTTTCTTCCATACAAAAAAAATTGTCGAACATAGTATTTGTATGAAAAAAATGTATGACACCGTGAGCAAAAAAAGCTAGAATTGAATGGGCTCTAGAATTTTTCTAAAAAATTCCTAATAAAAAAGATGTAAAATTTTTTTGAAATTTTCTAGTTCTTCTACAAAACTTGAAAGTTAGGTTTATATGGTTTGTGTGTTAGATAATGAGTTGCATTTAACAAAAAAAAAATTAAAAACATTAAACATTTTTCACATGACTGTATATACTATCTACTTGCACTTATGTATAAAATTGCATATCTAGAAGATGACTTTCCTTTTTCATTACAGACGCTGCTAATATTATAATTTCTTATTGCAGTTATCTTGCATTTGGACCTATCTTGCATAGTTACAAATTCAAAAATATTGCGTGGTGCAAAAGCTTAATAAAAGCAACTAAAAACTTCCATAACTTAGCAAACAAGTACTTTACTTGCTCAAATTACAGCAAATATCTACCGGCAGGAAACATTTTATAAAACAAATAAATACATAAATACATATTTATGCAATTGCAAAAAAATTTAAGTAAATGTTAGAGTGAACTGAAATTTTTGGGCGTAAAAACCGGAACTGCAGACTGTTTCGTGTGCCTTTAATAGAAGGAATGAGTGAAATTTTCCAATAAAAATAAAAAAAAACATTAAAATATCTGTAAACTCATATGTATCTACATTAGTATATACTAACTCAGTGTTTATAAAGTGAACTGCAAAGTATTTACCAAGCGCACTTCAAATCTTTTTGTAGTCTACGCCGACGATTTTTTGTGTAATTGGCTATTTTTAGCATATCGATGTGCCGAAAGTGCATTAAGGCTTCCCAGTAGTTAAAAAAAAAAAATCGCAAAAATATCGAAATAATACGCAAGCAATAAATGTAAGAGTCTTGTCCGGAACTGATTGCTATTGTCGCCAAAGGGCTTATTCCGCAAAACAATAAGTATTTCACAAAAAAAAAAGACTGTGGAAAATTCAAATTAAAGTGCTTAGTTGCGTCACATGTGCCCGTATATATGTATATTTCTCCTCGACTAAAACGATCCAACAGTAGCTTCCACCTCTTCTAAAAACATATGCGTATTGTGTTCTCGTTTTACATACCTATGAACACACAAACAACAAATTAACGCAACGCTATCACATAATCAACGCCAACATACCTAAATACATTTGTACATACATAAATATATAACCATACTTTTATCGCAATAAATATTAATGCAATTGTACCGTATTGGAATTTGCAATAAAAAGCCAGCATACTCCTTGGTGTAAAGTGAAAGCAAACAAAAAAAAAACAAAAAAAAAAATAAAAATAAAAATAAATCCATACCTACAAATATAAAACACCTGTGAATTGCTCAAAGTGTGTTTTTCGGAGGCCGCCCACCCGGCTACGCGCCTGCAGAAGAAAATATTAACACATCGTTGGTGCCATACAAACATTCATCCGCTCCAACAAATAGTCTAAAATAGCTATGTACTTGCTTATTGCAGTTAATTTGCCGAAAGCCGCAAAGTGTCAAGCAAAGTAAAGTGCCAAGTAAAGATAGTGGAGAAAACAAAAGTGCTAAAAAGCGTATGTCTAGAAATAGAGAAGAACTGATAAGCGAATAAATAGCAGCAGCCTCAGCCCCATTAGCTGTGCGAAAGTGCCAACAAAACAGGAGAGAGCAAATAAAAACAAAAAGACGAAATAAAGAAAACAGCAAAGCAAAGATACATAAATAAGTAAATATTCGGTGAGAAATAGCGCGTTGATTGGCGGAAGCAAACAAACAAATTCTGAAAGAGCTGAAATACAAAGTGGCATGTGAATGCAACACGCTATACACAGATACTGGAATTTAAATAAAAGTAGCAGGAAAAACACGAAAAAAAATTAAAAAAAAACAAAAAATATTAATATAATATAAGGACAAAACATTGAGAAAGAAAGAGTGAAGAATTGCTAAAATAAAAGCTAAATTTAAAACAAATCAAAGTCATAAGTAGAAATACAAGTGAAGTAAGTAATTACAAAAAAAGGTGGCATTGAATGTTGAAAAATAAAATTAAAAACCGCAATTTTGAAAATAGTATAAAACTATTCAAAAAAAAAGTTGAAATTGCAGAAACTCAAATCGAGTGCTCTCTACAATACATTAACTGATTATTTTGCAAAAATAAAACAAAATAATTGCCCATAAAAGTACTTAGTGCGTTTACATTGTGTTGCCAGACGAAATTTGAAGCAAGAATTTGTAAACACAGGAAGGAAATCCTATCATATACATATCTACAAATCTTAAATACATACACATGTATGTAGGTTTGACGTAAACGCAAAAAAAAAATTCTTCCAAGTATTGAATAAATAAAATAAGAAGTGCAGTTTCTAAAAAATAATACAACAAGCGAAGAAAAAAACGGTAGTATAAGTAAAATATTAATAAACATTTTCTAAAGGCAGAAAACAGTTGAAAATCATCGATACATAAAGTTGCAAGTCAAATACTAATACATACTTAGTGCATACTCGAATTTCCCACAGTGTGCAAAAAAGTGAAATATTTTTCTTGAATAAGCCATTTAGTGTTCTCTGAATCTTAACAAATTTACATTTGAAAACTTTGATCATCTGAAACTTGTATTGCCGCAGAAGCCAGCGTTCCAATTGTGGTGAGTTTTATAACTGTAATTTCCTTAAATTTTCTTGTCGTGCTGTTTATATATATTTTTTTATTGTAGTAAGTAGTTGTAGATCTCGACTTTTGCTACTTTTCATTTTCAAATGAAGAAAAGATCTCAAACGATATCGATACCTGTGTGGAAGATCGACCTATCTCGGCAGCCGGTTCGCCCTATTTTATTGAAAAACCCTCTATCTCAGAATTTGTTTGAAGGACGTCCTATCTCGGAATTCGGTTCAAAAACGCCCTATCTCAAACGGAAATGTATTGAGATAGAGCGTTCTTCAATAACATTTTGATATAGGGCTTTCTTCAACCAAATTCTGAAATAGGACTGGATCCCAGTTAGGTCGATCTTCCCATCCAGGTTTCGATATACAGTGACTCAAACAAGTGCTCACCTCTTTTTTTATATACACAATATTTTTCTTGCTAAAATATTTTTATTTTCTTTTTAAATATTATATTAATAAAAGTTTCAAATCTTTTATAGCATTTAGAAAATTTCAAAACATTTTGATAAATTTTTTGGAGTGCAGTTTTATTGCCCATACAATCTTAGTACAATAAAATGTAAACCTCAACCGGCTAAAAAATTGCGTTCATTTGTAATAAGTTTTTTTTTTACTGACGGCGTTTTGCACTTTTTCCATATAAACATGAATTTAATACAAATAAAAAAAAATAATGTTTTTATAAATGCTTTTTTTTATATAAAAAAAACCCCATAACCCCGCTGGCAAATACTTAGATGCTTCAACCATGCAATTTGTTAAATATACTAAATTTATGGGTTGTAAAACTGCATACACAATAGCTTTACAGAGATTACACCGTGCGACAAAAACCAAAAATTTTTAAAACACACGAAAAAATCAATATATTCACAAAACCAGGAGCCGAATATAGTAGAACCCTGTTTTTAATTTTTATCTCTGACGTAATTTTTTTTAAGGACTTTGAAATATCTGGGATATGATTGAATAAAAAAAATTATTTAAAAGATTTGATGCATTGTAGAGTAACAATATGGGTAAAATTAAAAGGAAAAATTCTGTTGCTAAAAAAAGTGAATTTTTTGGTGCACCAGGACAAATAAGTGTTGAAAATGTCCTTTTAAAACCTTATTCTTGAATATCCTTGGAAATTTCCAATATTTATTTAAAAAATATATATATATCAACTACCACATCTTCGAATTTCGTCCTTCTACCTTTATTAGTTTTAGATAAAAAAAATTTACACTTCTCTTATAAGATATTGATAGTTACAATATACATAAATGAAGATACTGGAATCATTACACTGTACAGCACTCGGCTGGGTATTGGACCCAACCAATTTTTTTTAAGAGATTGAGTCATAGGCAAAAAAGTAATTTCTCCGTTTTTCGAAGTTAGCCTCCGAAATCGAGATATGGGTCTTCGAAGTTCGAAATAGGATCTTTGGTAAAAAATTATAATTTTTTTCGTGTGTAAAATTGACGGTCGCACGGTGTTATGATTAATATGTTCGAAACTTTAATTAATTAATTTTTTTCTTGTTCAGTTTGAAACTTAGATTCATAAGTATGGTTTTGGTTAAAGCATGAACAATAGTTTTATAGGAAAAAAAAACAAAAAAATTTAACTTAAACAATGCGAATATAAAAAAATCAACATGTGATTTTTTATTTGAGTCACTGTATGCCTTTAAAAACTCTTTTATGGAACTATCGTGATAACGAAGTGATGTACTTTTGGAAGCCCCTGAGTGCTCGAAAATCGGTAAACTTATGGTTTTAGATTTTCCTTAGCTGTATACATAGTTTTTTATAAGAAATTTTAAGAATTTAATTGCTATATGTAACTTTGATAGTTTTAGAAATATTCAAGTTTGAAATAAACTAAAAATTAAAATACAGTCAAAACTCGATAATCCGAACTTATGTTTGCAGAGCCGATTCGAATTAAAAAAAAATTTATGTATGGCAAACTTATAAATTCACATATTAAAGTTAATGCAACTACTTAGAAAAAATTATTATAAATTGTTCGTCTGATTTTTCTCAGCACACCACATAAACTGATAAATATTCACACTCTCGCTGAATTGCGAATCTTACTGTAATAGTTTGTTACATTCCCATTACAAATTTACTAAAAACATGAGCAAAGCATCCTATTCGATAACAGAAAAAATTGTAAAAGTCCAAATAAAGATTTCCATCACTCGAATAATTTTTTTTATTTAGTAAAAAAGTTATTGAAAAGCAAAACTGAACGATTAATTTTGGGCCACCTGCATTATAGAATACTGTGAGAACAGCCGTTCGGTTTATCGAACAGTCAGACCATCGAGTTTCGACTTTATTTGGGAACAAAATGTTTAATGTGGCTCCAGTTGGTCTCTAATCTAAAGTTTTTTAATATTATTTGAGTTAAAGGTTGTTTAATATTTTCTATAAAATTTTGGAATATCCAATCTTTTGATGATTTTTTCACGTTGCCTTGAGTTTTTATATCGGGATATGTAATCGTCATTCTTTCTTTTTCCAAAAAAGTAGCATAATGAATTGGCATATTCTGCTCTACGAGGATGTGCTATGGTGGCTAAGTCTCTCCAGAAGCACATAAAAGGTGCAAAAACTACCATGCTCTGCATCTGCGGTATATAATTTCTTTTCCAGATAGAAAACTTTGATCAGCAGGGGCTCCTGATGAAAAGTGATAACACCACTTCTCCATCGATAGCTTTAAAGCAGCGACAGGCAGAGAGAGCTTTAACTCTGCACGCGCCTATACAAAATGCATAGAAAGCTTAAAAGAGTGAGCTGGATAAATCATTTCGCCTACCCGACTATTGCAGCGTCTTTCAAGCTGAAGTCGCTGACCTAAAGGTGGCGGTTGAACACTTACGTAACATTAGCTTCATCTACTCAGACAGTCAGGCGGCACTTAAAGCGCTTGACTGGGTCACGTGCATTTATGTACTTCAGGAATCGTAGCGGACAGAACAAACTCGGAAAAGAAAAGGTGGACCAACGTGCAAAATAGGGCACATCAGTTCCACTTTCGCAATACTGGACGGGTTTAGGCATGCGTGGGCTTTGTAATTCTTCTTCACAACTATTACCGGCGAACTTCATGGACTGGATGATGGTTTAATCACACAGCCTTCTCCCATTTCTTTTATGATCCCGCTAAGAGCTTCACATTTGGCACTTTGAACACTCCGAGGAGGTTGGCGGATTGGCCTTGCATTTTTAGTATTAATGCGATGTTTCAAATCGTTAGTTCGTTCTGGTTTGTTACCATCCTTGTTGAATATGCTGGGGTATTTGCGGAGAAGTTTCTTAGCATTATGCTGGTATTTTTCTTTCATTCATTCCGTCCATGAGATGGTGTCTTCCGAAATTTATTTCTGGCCTTTGGAATCGCTTTAAAGTACTCTAACGGGAATTGCGTCGCAGACAAGGTTTTTCCAACAAGTAGATATCACATCCATTTAAAATTTGGTTTTACTTCAGAAACCCACAAATTTTTTGTTCCAAAATCTGTGTACATTTTCGCCTAACCAACTGCTTCTAGAATTTGTTGTCTAACCTCTAGGAGCACTTGCGTGCTACTAAACCTGCTTTCATAACCAAAGCTAAGTTACACTTCCATGTTTTTATACGAGAGAGTAAAAGGTATGATAAAATCTAAATGCCGTTCTCTTATTTATGTTCCCAAGAACGCTTAAAAACCCATACCAAAAACAAATCCCTCGGGAATGTTCTCACAAGAATGACAGTGAGAACAAAACTGTTGAGAACGGTCTTAATGGCAACTATATAAGAACGAAACCCTGAGGAACCTTCTCAAAGTGAACAAAATGCGAATAATACTTTCGGGAAAATTTTTAAGAGAACAATTGGGAAAGTCTGCGGAACGTTCTGGCAAAGAACAAACCGGAAACAAAAGTCTAAGGAGCTTTATCTCGATGAACAATTTAGGAAATAGAGTCTCAGGAACGTTCCGGCAGAGAACGAAACGGGAACCAATATTCTCTGATCTACTCGTGAAGAATAAAAACGAAAACAAAGTTTTTCTCATAGCGCTACATTAGTTTGAAATTTTTAAATATTATAATTAATTAAAAAAAAAACGGAAAGATAATAAGACACGAACTTTTCCTGCACAGATAATGAAAAATTGTTACATAAATGGATAATTCACTCAATGATAAACGATTTAGAAGTTGAAATGATCCAGCTTTCCTCTGGCTTAGAATTAACAATTGTGGCCGCTCCTCCCTTTCTTAACGTTAAGTTCTCA